AACTGTTTTAGTGCCCCTCTTTTTCCCCCTCTATTGGTGAGTTGTCATGTAAATAAAATAAAGATTCACTGGGTGTCCCCTCTCTCCGAATCACAAATAAAAACAAGCAGATTTGGGTTTTGTGTGAGTTGGTTTCTCAGAGATTCAGGCATGTGGCAGCATTAAAATCGAAATTTCGGCTGAACTACCAACTGGCCAGAATCCAGCCGGGTTGCTGTACCACCCTAGACAAATCTCCAAGTCATATATTTCATGTTTGCTTTATTTGTTTAACCAGATTCTATGTATCTGTAGGTGTTTGACGAAGGTCAAACCACGTTTCAGATCAAAACAATGTAGGGAAGCAGAAAATGTTAAGGAATTAACGTTCTTTTCTCACTTCTATATAAACATATATAAATATATATTAAAAAAGCATAATAACATTATGTTTTTCATTAGGTTTAGTTGAACTGTGCTTAATAAATCATGATTATCGCCTTGTCTCGCAGCATAGATGCTACATCAAAATGTGGATAATTAATGGAATTCCTAATAAATAATATTACAGCTAAAATACGAGATGCTCCAAAAACTATTATCTTCTGACTCAATATAACACATGTAACAAAAAATGTCATACTTTCAGTACAAAAAAAAATTAATTTACTTTTTTCTGTCCAAATGTTTTCAATGATATCTTTTAAAGCTTACGGCGGAACACTTGGCTATATATCCGGGCCCTATTGATACATTTGTCCTTTCGTTTCTCTCTTGGTCATATAATTTTGGAATTTGATTGCTTCCTTAGAATTTGATATGTTGAGTCATTGAAGAGCGCAGTATCAGAAAGCCAGAAGTGCCAGGACACATATTAATTTCACATTTCCTTCTACGGGAGACAGGTCATTCGTTTCTTCCCGTTGAAGAAACTCATAGCGCGAGGGTAAAACTAATAGAAACACAGAAGAAATACACTTTTATATAACACAATAACCCTCACACCAAAAAAAACTTTGACACAAAGTAAGATCAATATTTCAGCTTAGAGAATTACAGATTTTATATTTCCTTGCTCTCAGATACAGCTACAAAACAATTTATATCAACTGAACAAAGTAAAATACGCATTCTGTTAGCAATTCCTTTTATCTCAAAGAGAAAACCAAAGTAAGCTGCATCCCATTATGTGATATAATTCTCATATGTGAATAAATACAAATTTATATCTAATAAAAGGATAGGTGAGGATTCAAGTTTATTTTGGTTATATTGTGTTGTCGACATGTTTAAAAGCATAGTGTGTGTTTTGTTTTGTGAGTGATAGCAGTGAAAATTTGTTAAAATGGTTCAAATGTTTAAATTGCTAAAAATGATTCCATGGCTTTGACCTTTTAACTTTGATATGCAATCTGGGACTGGAAGATACCGGGTGGGCCAAAATTCAGAGTAGGATTTGACAGGTAAATAACTTATTTGCTAGTAATTATTATTATTTTTTTTTGCATGCTCATATTATATATGAGTCTAGGGAGATTCATCATGGGTAATTTTACAAAAGAACGAGTAAAAATAGTGGATTTTTTTTTTTTTAAACTGAGACAACTGTTTGGCAAGCGCATGATTTTAAGAAATTTCCAGATTAATTGGCTGCCATGTTCGACCGACCTTTCAGATTCTGATGACTTCCTGTGGGAATTTTTGTGGGCATACGTAAAAAAACAGTGTACACTTGAGTAACTAAAGGAGAATATTTATGCCGAAATTCAAGTGCTAGAGCCTCAAACATTAAGTAATGTTATGAACAATGCAATTGAATAAGCCCAACATTGTGAAATGGAGATCATTTGAAAAATGTCATCTTCCGTACCAAGTCAAACAAATCTCCATATGTTAATCATTAATTGAATCTAATAAGTTATTGACTCCTCAAACCCTACAATGAATTTTGTCCCACCCTATATAAATGGAAGTCGCTGTAGCCTCTACTCCTCCCCTTACTAAGATCATATTAACTGATGATCTCAGCCAATCCAATGCCTCTGCATAGGGAAGAATTAGGGGGCTAGTGTGCAGGTGTGGCAATTTCCACCCTGCCTCAATCAGCATCTCCTCATAGGGATGCATTGACTCAAAGCATTTCTATGAGGACAATTCAGAGGCTTCATGCTGAGAGTAAAGAAGCTGAACGTCGTTTCTGAAAAAGTTGCAGGACTGCTCCTGGAAGCACCTCTAGTGGCTGCCACTAGTGGCTGCATTAGGAAGTTGAAATGGCAGTGCTTCTGTAAAATGTAGATGGAATGGACGGTGATAATGTTGAATCTTCTTAATTTCTTCTTATCTTCAGTTGATTGATATATATACGTCTTTTGTATATATATTCTTGGGCCAAACGCTCGCCACAATAATATATGTCTATATTATTGAAAAGTAGTAATACGCAATCTGACTTACGGTTTCTTCAGGTTTATTCTTAGTTACGGATACATAATAAAACATAATAAAGGATGTTACAGGATAATAGACATTAAACAGCAGATGGTAATTGCTGGACTTCTGATGGGAGAGTTACATCGTTGTACAGAGCCAAGAGCCAAGCCAAGAGCCAAGCCAAGAGAGAGAGACCCTGTTACTATATAGATGTGCTAAACTAACGTCAGCGTTTACCTCTAGCCATATAAGGACAAGACCCCCGAATCCACATTCCAGAGCTCTCGGACAAAGAAAGCCTTGTGACTTATTGATAACATCTGTTACTTATGTCAATCCACACATCCATATATATAATCAATAGAAACATAGAATATGCAATATTCTACAGCTTGCATTGCTGAGACTGCAGAGACAGTCTATTTACACCTAAAGCACTACATTAAGCTATATTGATTATGGTGCTTAGAGTTTGCCTTAATAAGGTCCCTTTTTACTAGAGCATCTCTTTTTGGTGATGGAGGGTCTGTTGTAGTTGCAGGGAGACTCTCAAAACTGATCATCTGCAGGGAATGTTTTCTTTGCATTAAAAAAAAGAAAATATTATCTACATGATAAATTTAAAAAAGTTGCCATCTTCCCCATAATTGTTCTTTAAGAAATATACAACTTTTAGACTGAGGTACCAAATTCCAATTTATTTTGCTAATAACCTGGTAAGTGCAAAGATACATGCAATTTTAATGTTCTTTATGAGTCACCAGACAATGACATATCAAAATAATTAAAAATACAGGAAGTTATCTACAAGGGGACAGAGAGGACACGTTAGTTCTCCAAAAATTGTACACATATGAATGTAAACAGTAGTAATCTCTATGAAATAAAGTAACATTGCCCGATTTGGCGGTGGTATTACATTCAAAAACAGAGCTGGGAATTTCTCCTCAACAGTAAAGTAATTATGCAGAGAGATTATAAGAGAGGACAAGGGGATAAAACATGCACACTCATTTATACACTCAACCAGATTCCAAGAAAACAACAACTATAAATACAGATTTTTATGCAAACTGGCATTTATAGGAAACAAAATGTTACACATCACTTTTTAAAGCTCTTTTTAAACATAAATATAATTGTATGTATAAAAAATTGATGATGGCTTCACTTTAAATAGTATAGTGCACTTTTCTATTCTGTATTGATGCCAGTTTGCATAAAATTTTATGTTTTGACTGTTCTACCCTTTGAGTCAACTCTGCATTTATTTTATTTAATGTTTTTACCTTCATTGCCCTTAGAAAAACACTATATGAAAGTTTAATTTGTAGCTTGCTGTGAAATCCCCAATTAGTCTTAAAGGTGGCTAAATGACAGAACAAAAACAAAAAAGTTTGTATACGCCATATGTTATTGGAAAATACACATATCTGTGCTATTACCATTGGATACAATTGAGCTGAGACTCAAGAGAGAAAATCAAACACAGCTCGAGAACTACAAATGTTAGCTATTACAGAATGTTTAAAGGGTACTGTCACTTTCTAGATAGTGAAAGCTCATAGTTTCTTTACAATTGAATCACTGAAGAGTTTTGTAAAAATGACTATGAAACATACTCCCATTCAACATCTTCCCATGACGTGCACTCATGTGGATTTGCGTATACATAGTTATATTTAAGCATGTGCCTTATTTGCATTGTGTGCCAGGGCGTGCCTTGACAGCTGATTCAAACACGATACACTGAATTGTTTTATTAAAGCACATCTAATAGCAAATTTTGAATTAGCTGATGAGTTCTGCAAGCATCATAAGTGAAAGATCTTTAAAACTCTGACTTATGAGTAAGAGCACATGCCATGCATGGCAAATATATATACGGGTGTGGAATGATGAAATAGTGGTGTGTAAATATGTGAGGTGCTGTATATTTGTGCTGAGTTCTATGTGCTCTTTAATAAGTATGTGTAAATGTGTGTATCTACCAAAAAACAATGACACAACAGACACTAACATAATAACAGCCACCAATGTGGCTAAAACACTATCTCTATATCCAACTCTAATTATTTTATTTTTTGTTGGCCCCATTCTTATTCCCCTCTCATTAATTCCAGCCCTTTGTGGATTAGGGATGTGCATGGAAAAAATATTCGGTTCGGCATTCCAAAATTTGGGACTTCAGCACTTCGGAATTTCGGTTCGGTTCGGGTCGGCATTCCGAAATTCGGCACTTCGACACTTTCGGATCTTCGGAAACTTCGGCACATCGAAACTTTGGAAGTTCATAACTTCGGCACTTTGGGACTTCAGGACTTCGGCACTTTAGGACTTGGGGTAAGTGTAGGGTTAGGGTAGGGTTAGGGGTAGGGTTACATTAGGGGTAGGGTTAGGTTGGGGTTAGGGTAGGATTAAGGGTAGGGGTAGGTTTAGGGGTAAGAATAGGGGTAGGGTTAGGGTAGGGCTAGTGTTAGTGGTAGGGTTATGGTAGGGTTAGGGGTAGGGTTGAGTTAGGAGCAGGGTTAGGGTTAGGAGTAGGGTTATGGTAGGGTTAGGGGTAAGGTTAGGGTTAGCATAGGGTTAGGAGTAGGGTAGGGTGAGGGGTAGGGTTAGGAATAGGGTTAGGGTTACCCTACCCCTAACCCTACTCCAACCACTAACCCTAACCCTACCCCGACACCTAACCCTATACCAACCACTAACCCTACCCCTAACCCTACTCCAACCACTAACCTTACCTCAGCCCCTAACCCTAACCCTACCCCAACCACTAACCCTAACCCTACCCCAACCCCTAACCCCAACCCTCTCCTGTTTTCCCACTTTTCAGAAATCTGAAGCACTTTGGAACTTCCGAAATTCGGCACTTCGGCAATTCGGTTTGGTTCAGCATTCCGAAATTCGGCACTTCGGAAATTCAGCACTTAGGCATTTCGGACATTCAGAAGCATCTTTGTTAGTAGGCATCTTCTTGTGTATTTTGGTTTGTAGAGATTTCTGCGGTCAGGGCTGTGCTGTATTCTTGCACATGTGGGAGAATACAGCAGTGGCACAGATGTAGGTCTTGAAGCTGAAGAAGTAAGGCGGTAACACCCACGAAATACATATATTTTCCTTTAGGAGGAGCAGTAAAAAGGTTTTATTTATAAATTAAATACATATCTGATATATATACAGTATCTCACAAAAGTGAGTACACCCTTCACATTTTTGTAAATATTTTATTAAATCTTTTCATGTGACAACACTGAAGAAATGACACTCTGCTACAATGTAAAGTAGTAAGTGTACAGCCTATATAACAGTGTAAATTTGCGGTCCCCTCAAAACAACTCAACACACAGCCATTAATGTCTAAACTGTTGGCAACAAAAGTGAGTACACCCCTAAGGGGAAATGTCCAAATTGGGTCCAAGATATCAATATTTTGTGTGGCCACCATTATTTTCCAGCATTGCCTTAACCCTCATGGGCATGGAGTTCACCAGAGCTTCATAGGTTGCCACTGGAGTCCTCTTCTCCTCCATGACGACATCACGGAGCTGGGACCTTGCGCTCCCTCACCTTCAGTTTGAGGATGCCCCACAGGTGCTCAATAGGGTTTAGGTCTGGAGACATGTTTGGACAGTCCATCACCTTTACCTTCAGCTTCTTTAGCAAGGCAGTGGTCGTCTTGGAGGTGTGCTTGGGGTCGTTATCATGTTGGAATACTACCCTGCGGCACAGTCTCTGTAGGGAGGGGATCATGCTCTGCTTCAGTATGTCACAGTACATGTTGGCATTCATGGTTCCCTCAATGAACTGTAGCTCCCCAGTGCCAGCAGCACTCATGCAGGTCCAGACGATGACACTGACTGTAGGCAAGACTCAGGGGTGTACTAACTTTTTTGAGATACTGTGTGTATATATATATATATATATATATATAATATTTGACCAGGATGAATGCATTGAGATTTCTCTCACTTTCAAGTATGTCCTGGGTCAACAAAACATTGCATTGTTACAATAGGGTACAATATTGCAAAAATACTATATATACATATACACACACACACAGACACACACATATACATTTAATACATGTAATACAGGTAATAAATATATTCAACCATGACAGGTGCATTCTGTGCTGAGGTATATTGCCATAGATCTTGTAAAAGATTTTAGATTGAATGAAGATGTGACTGTGTCCCTGAGGTTATTCCATAATTGTTGTGCTCTGTAGGAAAATGAGGATCGGGCAACTTTATGTTACTATTGCGGTATGCTAAATATTGTGCTAGAACTGGATCGCAGGTTATAGGAGGTGGGAACAGCTGGGGAGAGCATTCTACTCAGGTAGGGTGGGAGTTTCCCAGAAATGCTCTTATACACAAGGCTGGAAAGATGAAGAAAGCGTCGGGATTCCAGCGACAGCCAGTTTAGCTATTTTAACATGTCACAGTGGAGAGTAAAGTAATTACATTCTAGTACAAAGTGGCAGAATGAATTATATAACGTATTAAGTTTATTAAGGTGGGTTTGCGTTGCGGGTGCATACACTACATCCCCATAATCAATGACTGGCATTAGCGTTTGTTGATCTGTTTCCTTACTGTAGGGCTTAGGCAGGATTTGTTTCTGTACAGGACACCTAGTTTTGGGTAAAGTTTTTCAATGTGAAGGCTAAAATATAGATTGGGGTCTAGCAACATACTTAGATATTTAAAAGAGCAGACTGCTGTCAGTTATATTATATTATATATATTACATATACTTTTTAACTGCTTCTCCTTTATATCCTCTACTGGTTACTAATTGTCAACTGATCTGTGAATCAAATTGTGGGAAAATAAACCTATCAGTATGCTGCAAAATATATACAGTATAGAGATATTATATATATATATTGCTGTACAATGCACTTTCGCAATCTTTTGGTTCGTCCAAATCACTTTTCACAAATAATTACATGGACGAAATTTGTCCTAACCAAAGTGCCCTATAAATACATTTTGGACCCTAATATAATTATTTTTTCAGTCAAACCAAATTTTTTCACCAGAACATGTCTAACACATACTATAATAGTAAATTGAAGGAGACCGCACTCACCAGGCTACCAAGGTGCACCAGATTTGGGATAGGCCAGACCCCACATCAAATGTATAAAATAAAGTGACGGTCCAGGCACTCAAATAGATAGCAAAACAGCAGCTTTATTGGAGCAAACACAGAGCAAGGTTTTGACCCAACCAGGTCTAAAATTTACTTTAAAACAATAAGTAACACAATACATGTACAAAAATAATCATAAAGACCAATTTCTCAAAGATAGAAACATAGAAACATAGAATGTGACGGCAGATAAGAACCATTCGGCCCATCTAGTCTGCCCAATTTTCTAAATACTTTCATTAGTCCCTGGCCTTATCTTATAGTTATGATAGCCTTATGCCTATCCCACGCATGCTTAAACTCCTTTACTGTGTTAACCTCTACCACTTCAGCTGGAAGGCTATTCCATGCATCCACTACCCTCTCAGTAAAGTAATACTTCCTGATATTATTTTTAAACCTTTGTCCCTCTAATTTAAGACTATGTCCTCTTGTTGTGGTAGTTTTTCTTCTTTTAAATATAGTCTCCTCCTTGACTGTGTTGATTCCCTTTATGTATTTAAATGTTTCTATCATATCCCCCCCTGTCTGGTCTTTCCTCCAAGCTATACATGTCAACACCCCTGTAAAGTGTCTTGGTACACTCTTATGGCTATCAGTAAGACAACTGTTATTATATGTAACTGTTATTATTGTGTTAACAGGATATAGTATTTTTTTCATTTATACTATAAAGAAAATGTATGGTATAGGTAACACAAGCTACCTACCCAACCATGTTTTATAAAGAAAGGTTTTACTTACATCTGAAATCAGTCTTGAACCTTAACTCAGATTACTGCTGTCTATGTGACTTCCAAATATCAGGGACTGTAAAGAAAAGTCAGTGCTCACATTGCCGGTTAGTTACATCACTAGTGGCAGTCACTCAGACAGCCACTAGAGGTGCTTTCTGGGTCAGTGCTGCACAGTGTGGAGCACTGGCATTCAGCGTCTCCACGCTCTGCATGGAGGCATTAAAAGTTCCCCATAGAGATGCATTGATTCTATAAGAAAGCATTGAATTGGTGAGATCATCAAATTTGATGCTCTCAGCCAAGGAGGCAAAGCCAACAGCGGCGAGTTCGGCGCGGCATGGGAAAAATGGTGAGTAAAAACACCTTTCCCATGTGATGCAAGAGGATCCGTGGACCTAAATAGTTAGTTTAACAGTATAGTGTCAGGAATACGGGTTTGTATCCATGACACTATAGTTTTCCTTTAAATCAGGTATAAACAAGTAGAGGTAGAGCCAGTAAATTACTGCTCAGTTAAGATTGTAATCCAGTGAATACTGTGTATCAGTAATAGTTGCACACATATGGGCATCTCCCGAACTGTAAGTTAGTCCATCATCCCATATATGTACATACCTGATTTGTTTTTTTTTGGTTTTCCTTATTTTTTTTTACGTAGGAGATTTTAGGTAATCTGTAATAAAGTTACGTTTTAATTTAGTTTTCTTCTGCCAACATCTCCCATCTCTAATTTAGTGTATATAATTTAATGTATAATTTAGTGTATAGATTTGCTTGGGAAACAAAAGAAACAGACTTTTAAAAATTGCCAAATATCTCCATTCTATTAAAAACAGAATTTTATACACCGTATGGGTTTTAAAAGAACAATGAAATGTAGTAAAAAAATAAAAAAATAAAAAATATATGAATAAATATGGATGAACAACGTGGGAGTATTCCCTTGGAAAACTGTGAAATCTGCTAAAACAGGATTAAAAATCTATTTTTTATGCATTTAGACAGACAACAGTGGGGATTTTTGGTTCTATTCCCGAATGTAACTTTCCCATGGTAATACTTCTAATGCAGTGACATCTAAATGATGCCTTCAGGGCTTCTGTAAACATTACTAGCTAGGGGCACTGCCCTTTGGCGTAGATGTATTCTCTGGAAATTGGTGTAGTACATAAGTTTCCTAAATGACAGATCTCTTAGCTTGTCACTTTTAATTCTCTAAAGGTACAAATTGTTCATATCTTTTGCATGGCTATATTGAAATGATTGCAAATACACATTAAGCTGTGCATGTCAAATTGTACAGCTAGAATTGTCCATTTAACATTTAATTTCTATTCCGAAGATGGTCATCTATGAAAAATGCATCCTGCACATTGCGCAGATATATTCTCGAATATAGGGTGAATTGCATTATGTATATAACATTGGTAGATATTTATAAAAGTGTTAAATGTGGAATGTTAAAAGTGGAATGTCGCTATTAAATTCTGCCATTTAAAAAAATTCATATTTATTAAAGTGTTCTAATGTGAGCTAGTGAAAGATATTACATTTAGATTGTGAAAAAAAAAGAAGTAAAAAATATTTTTCTGTCTGAAAAATTGGTGGAAAAATTGATTAAATTGATAAATCTGCTGAAAAATGACAGAGCAGAACAGAAGCAACAGATACAATTGAAATTGTGCAAATGATTACCATGGCCAAGCAGCTGCATGCAAGCCTCACATGACCAAGTACAATGCCAAGCGTTGGCTCGAGTGGCGTAAAGCACGTCACCATTG